AGAGCGTCGACTCATGTCTATCCAACACGATCATACCGACCCTGAACCCCCGCCCGCGATTACCATGCCCCCGCCTCCTCCACCACCAGCAAAGCCTACTCTTACCTTACCATTACCAGAAGTACAGTGTATTATATGCTGTACGGAATTACCAGGTGCCAAAAGTCCGAAGCACTCAAAGGAGGTTGTGAAGCCATGCAGACAATGTGGCAGTACATACTGTGGGTCGTGTATCAAGAGGATGTTCACCGAATGCTGTAAAGATACCACGCGCATGCCTCCAAGGTGCTGCGGACAGATACCAATTCATTACGCAAAACCGCACCTGACAAAGGAGGAGTTCACAGAGTTCAAATCGAAGTACGAAGAGTGGCTCACACCAAATCCATTCTATTGTCCAGTGCCAACATGCTCGGCCTTCATTCCAGAACGACTCCTGCCCGATCAGGCAACAAAAAAGCAAGGGAAGCGCGCTGACTCTGGTGTTGGAACGCCAACGTTGAACGTCTTTGCGTGTCCAACCTGCTCAGCTGATATCTGTCTCACATGTCGGCAAGTCGCTCACCCGGACGCTATATGCAATATCTCTGAATTTGGCATCGATGCAGAAACTACAGAGCTACTGAAGAGCTGGGGATATAAGAGGTGTCCGAAGTGCGGTCATGGACTGAAACGAATGTACGGTTGTCTACACATGGAGTGTCGGTGTGGAGCGCACTTCTGCTACATGTGTATGGACGAGCCGGAGGACTGTGGTGGAGCGTGTAATGAATATGGGGAAGACGACGGCAGTGACGGCAATATCACGGAGTCTGATGAGGGCGAGCCTCCATCTGGCACGAACGATGCATCGGCGCTACCCAACGAGACATCTCAAGCGCAAGAGACGGTTGGCGCAGCAGCGATATCTACGCCACAGCCAGCGCCTCCACGTAATCTTGATGCTGGAGGGCCTCGTTACTGGGAGAATCAAGATCTAGACTTTGGTGAAGAGCCAGGGGAAGACTACCAGGACCGCTCATGGAACTGTGACCACAGCTTCGAAACCTACAGAATCCCCCTCGCAAAAGCTCTAATCAACGATTCCGCGGCTGAGATGGAATGTGTAAAATGCTGGTGTTCAATACACCCAGAGATCGAAGCTCCCAAAACCGCAGTCAATGGGATGAAGGCAAAGACCGTAGCCGCAGGTATAGTACGAAGAGCCGGTCGAGGGTTCAGGAGGGGTAACGGACCAGGGCGAGGGCGCGGTCGCGGACGGGGTGGATACATACCTCCTCGCGGGCTCTTCCAAGCTGGTGATGCCATTGGAACAGCGCCCCATCTCACTACTTCCGTCGCCTCTCCGCTCTCTGAAAGTGTGCCCATTCGCGAAACCTCGCCTATGGAGGATATTCAGTACTCTTCCGGCCGCGTGGTAGATACCTACGGCAATATCGTCTCCACAACTGAAATCGAGCTTCGGCGACGAGCATCCGAAGCGTCATTCGTCACTGACGTCGTCCCTCCGCAAGCGAAAGGAAAGGCTCAAGCTACCTTCAATGCCCCATCGAACATCTTCTCTATGAAGTTCAGTCTCGCCCATGAGTGCGTTAACTGCGCCTTACTTGTGTGCGCATCGTGCAAAGACGGTATCTTGGCTGCTGAAGAGGGGAAGTGAGAGTCCTGAACCTTTCCGTACCTCTTACTTTACACGGAGTCTTGCAACATTTAATAGCATGGGGAATTTGACGTTGAACTGCAGGGGCGTTATGGGCATACGGCGTTGCTTCCGTAGTTTCAAGAAGCTTTTCAATGAGAAGATTTGGACACTTGTTATCGAACGGCGTATAGCAAGTAACTGGAGCACTCGTCTATGCACTTCAAAATGATAAATAGTGTGGGAGAATACCATGGGGTTGCATGTGGATTGTATAGGCGTCTTGCGGTGATGTATATGTCTCGGTCAGCGATTGCATGCTCCATCACACGATATTTGCGCATCGAACCACTCCCCGCTTCGTCCTAATATCAGGACCGGACGATTGTATTGACTTGAATCATCTTCATGTAGAGAGGCAACGTCGATTCTTATATGGTTTCATAGCCCTATTGTCTCAGTACTTTGATACACTCATACATATGCTACCGGCCTACTACTTGAGATTATATACGCCTCATATTCCCTGAACTGATGATATCGGAGCTATCTCACACATTGCATGCTTGACTGTCTCCTCTTACTTCAAGCATTCAGTTGGACTTCTAGCATTCTAGCGCGCCTCGGGATAACATGAGTCCACTCGTCCTTTCTACAAGCACTCCTTATAGTTGACAAGAGCGTGAGGGTGTTATCAACGTACACACAATCATCAGATACAATTTTTTATTCTTGTTCATAGAAACGTACTACCGCACACGAGAAGACCAACCGGGGAATCAAAACACTTGCAAAGGTTGAGCTCAAGTTCACTACATTCGTGGTACCGGTAGATGTAAGTATTTTAGCCCGCCGACATCTCTGATCGAGATTCCTTGATATTGTGCTTTCGCTCTCCGTTCGCTCGTCCCGTCGTGAGATAGCTTATTCATTCGTTCATTTCATCCACACTTGACTGTCGGATGCAGGTATGTCCTGTTTTCAGGCCGGAACCAAGGTTGACGCAATCTATGCGCCCAGGCTGGGGAAGGCGCTGGAATCGGTGATGTTGATGTTGGACTGGGCACCGCCGCGGCCTCCACGACCACGGGCCTCGCCACGTCCACGACCCTCACCGCCACGGCCACGTCCGCGGAACTCGCCACGACCTTCGCCGCGACCACGTCCCTCGCCACGGAATTCACCGCCGCCACGGCCACGACCGCGGAACTCGCCACGGCCTTCGCCACGGCCGCGTCCTCCTCGGCTGCCACCCTCACGGGGAGGGGGAGCAAGCATGCGGTCACCGTCAAGCTCGACGTGGACCTTTTCCTTGCGGGCGCGCTCGCGCTTGGCCTTGCCTTGGGAACCGGCCATGAAGTCCTCTTGCTCCTCACGGGCGAGAGCAGTGCCCTCAGGGAACTTGGTGCTGCTGCCCTCGTTGGCCTTGCGGACGTTCTGGGCGGCGAGAGAGAGCTTCTTCTCGGCGAGCTCAGCGAGGTAGGCGGCGTAGGACTTGCTCTTGTCCTCAGGCTCGGCATCGGCCTCGCCCTCGGCGTCCTCCTTGATGGCGTCCTTCTCTTCAGCCTGAGCCATGGCCTCTCCAGCCTGCTCGTCAGCCAACTCGGCATCGCCGTCCTTTCCGCCCCAGCCGTGTGCGGCCTGCTTGTCGTGCTCGCTGGAGATCGTTAGATATGGTCGTTATATGACATGGGATTTCTTACGCGATGCCAGTCCTGCTATGACGGTCACCCTGAGCAGCGCCTCCGCGACCTCCGCGTCCACCGCGACCGCGGCCACGCTGTCCACCACGACCTCCAGTGCTGGTAGGCTCTGCGAAACGTCAGTATAGGTACGAATTGACCAGTGACAGGGCACTCACCGCCAGATCCCCTGCCGCGGTTCTTGTCAGAGCCGACGCCGCGATCCCGGAATGCTGTGCTGCGTTAGCAATTGTCCACTGAACCTCCCATGAGAGTGTAGAGCATGGGGATTGCTCTTTGTATCCGACGTACCGTTGTCGTTGGCGTTGTCGGACTGCTTGGCACGGTTCTGGTTGCTCATCCTCTCGGGCATGGGCTTGGGGGCATCGGTTCCCTCGCGCTTGCCGTGCCTCATGACGGGCTTCTCAATCGCCCTCGTCGGTGGGTCAGCCGGCCTGTCGGGGTCGAGCTCGGGGTCATTGCCTGCGGGGTCGTGAGTGAGAGTTCGGTGCCTGTGCTGTGCGCTGCGACATACCCAGCAGCTCGTAAATGTTCTGCAGTTGGAATTAGCATCTTGAAGCTGTCTACTGTGGTGCAGGCCCTCTCGCAGCCCTCAATGGAAGGCGCGAAGCTGAACCTGATGGTGGGGTGAGTTGTAGCTTACCTTGGAAGCAATTTGCGACATCTTGACGGATTGGAGCGCCTTTCGCGCTTTGCCCTTCTAGATGCACAATCTGCCGGGAGAGAAAAAGAATGCGAGAGCTTGCCCTACAGATTTTAGGGACGTGGCTCTCAGAAGTTGACTCGCGAACGGGGTGATAGGCGCGATGTTGCGGGCACGAGGTTTTGGTCAATCGAAAATGGCCGTGGGTTGCTTCCGTAAGCGAGTGTAGTGGGGCTAAGACTATTGGAGGCACAAAGAAACATGAGCGCTGCGGTTCTTGCCGCATACAGCGCTTCACTCGATTCTTGTGCGAGTGCAGCTCAAAACAAAGTCTTGAGGCACACGGTATTCACTGTAACCAACCTGTTAGTCTGCAGCTCTTGCGCCGCTGGCGTGTCAATGTTGATTTGAATGCGCGTTCAAGCGCACGTCATTCCGAGGCTGTTTCACCCATGCAATGCTTTTTGTCAGGAAAAGCAATTGTGAATGCGTCCAATGCAGCTCCAGAATGCGACCGCATCGCTATAGTGTCGCAGGATGTGAAAAGGCCTGACTTGGCCTTGGTTAAAGAGCATGGGCGCTGTCACGGCGTTGTGGGAGTATGAGGGGGGGTGCAACATTGACTCGATAGTTGCGGCCGACTGCATTACAATATGTACAAAGCATCGTCCCGCCTTCCAGTGTCACTAGACAGGCAGCGATGCCAGAGTGAAGCGTATGGATGAGAAATATTCACCCGCGTCCATAGCAATAACCCCAAGCAATTTCCATCACAAGTACACATGTCGTAAACCTGCCCCAGGTTGAATGATAACTTTTTTGTAGAATTCCCCCGTATCGAGACTCGTGGTCTCATGTTGAACGCCGTCGTACCGTCGTGACACATTGTCGATTGGGTAAAAGCAGTTGTTGCGCCCGCTAAACAACGTCATGGGAGGGTATCAGTCGGCGGTGATCCAATTCGGTCCCTGATAACTCCAATATAGCCCCCTCTTCCTATCCTTTCCTCGTATCATCATCTACTCTCATACATCGTGGGGAAGTGCATGCTGGCCGAGAGTCCAAAGGGGTCGGCGTCAAGCATAGGGTCGTACGGGTCGAAGAGGTGGTTGTTGCTCATGCCATTGTAGGCATGGCCTCCGTCGTTGGGCGCCAAAGCTGCTGGGCTCGTAAAGGGTGGGTTCTGCGAGGGCGGCATCGGTGGTGGCATGTTGTTCGACGGCGGGAAGTTCTGTTGCGGGAATGGGCCAGGGCCAGCGGAGTGCTCGCTCGGGTCGTCGTGGTCGTAGGAGTCGGCTTGTTCCTCGTACTCCTGCTCTGTAACACGAAATCAGCCTAGGATTACAAAGCCCTATACTTAAGAGGGGATAGGAAACGGGTCAGCTTGCCGAGTTGACTCATGTGGTCCGTGAACTGTGTCTGGTAGAAAGACGTAGGACCACTGCTCTGAGTTATGCCGTTACCGTTGCTGCCAACAGTAGACGCGTTTGCTATGCCATTTGCGGGAGCCTGGTTCGTTACGAGCGAAGGGCGCTGAGCACCCATCATGGGAGTAAAGTTTGATCTAGGCGGCTGTGGCCGTAGTGGCTGCTGCTGTTGGTGCTGCTGCTGTTGTGGAGGTATGGGCCCAAAGTTGGGAGACACTGATTGACCATGAGGTATGAAGCTGGGCGAGCGCGTTGCTGATTGAGCAGGCGACGAGAGATGCGAGCCAGGAGTGGGTTGCGACAGTGGTGAACGCTGAATCGGCCCATCCGGCTGTATCATGGGCAAGCCATTGACGCTATCAACCTTGGGCGGGCCTTGGAGCGAGCGCCGCTGTTGTTGTCTGTTCAATATAGCACGTTGTTGGAGAGGCGCCTGGTTGGGCGAGGTGTGTGCAGACGCTGGGGCTCTGGTCGGCCCCAGGTTTGGACTGCCAGTCTTCGCGCGCAGCTCGGCCTGGACGTCGATACCTGGTGGAGCAAGAGGTTAGCGTGTGTACCCTGATTGATAGACGTCTTGATAAGATTGGGGCTACCTTTCTCTAGCAGAATCCTCTCGAGTAGAGAATTCTTATACCGGAGCATAAGGCATTCGTCGGCGGCGTTGCGGTGACTGTTCTGCAGGTTCTGCAGCGTGTCCTCATGGTGCTTTATGGTGCTCTCCAGCTGCTTGATGTACTCTGTACGGCGCTCACGAAAGGCGGCTTGCGCCTGTCTATTGCGCTGCTTGCGCTCCTCTGAGGTGGCATATATCTTACGACGCTTGGTTAGTCCTATCTTCGACATAGTGATTGGCGATTCAATTGCTGCAGCCATGACAGGCAAGGCAATTGGCATCAGGAAGGCTCACAGGTTTACGGCCGCCTTTGCGCTTCTGCTGCTGGGGCTCTTCCTGGGTATATGTCTCCGCCAGACCAGGTTCGGGCGACGATCCGATAGAGTCGGTCGAACCATCGCGCGAAGCCTCTGCCTTGCCCACGGGGGCCGTCATATCTGTTACGAGACTATCTCCCATCTACGGCCACCGTACCCCTCCGTCCAGATAGAGGGGCACCGAGGCGCCAAGAGCTGCGAGAGATGCGACAAAGGCAGGTCGAAGGAGATAGCAGGAGGCTCTGGTCGCTTAGACGCGCTTGTGCTGGGCAGCCGCAGCGCCGGGTCGAAAATCGATACGGTTTGTATGGGGTTTTGATAATGTATGATAAGAAGAGGGCGTTCGGGCCTGTGTGTGGTCGCGCAGTAGTTGTGAGGTAAGCTCTTGGGTAATGGAAACAGAGATGGGCTCGAACGGAGGGGCGGAGTGCTGGACTTGAAAAGGCGGGCGGACCACTCTCTGCTGCCCAGATCAACTCCTCCCGTGTGGTTAAAGCTCGCTCGACTCGCCTCGCCCCAGAAGGCTGCCTCTCAGGCGCGCAGCAAATGGCAGCCGTGCTCCCGCTGCTGGGCACTTCGCACGCGCAATGACGGCCAAGCGAGCGGGTGCGCGGTTGGCCGAACGCTCAGAATTTTCTCGCGGGGTGCTCACGCTGCATCACGGCTCTCGCTGTGCCAGACGCCTGGTGGACGACGCCGAACATGGCTGCCCCAGCCGAGCTGGATCGCGATGCCCCATGCGGCGTAGCCTGGTGGTTAGCTCCCGCGCCACTAGAAAGTTTTGTAGCCTTTCTCCGGCTTCTCCATGGACGCGCAGGCAGAGCGCGAGCCTGGCATTGTTATCTAGCAGGCGTCGCCCGTTCGAGCGCGATCAACTCGCGACGTGTATGCGTCTGTCTGATTTCATCCACGCGGCCATGAAGTCTTCCCGTGAAAAGCAAGCAGCCAGCCGTCGTCGTCGCATCCACGCCAGGCCACCGACGTCGGAGCGCGCCCTGCACCGGGGCCACGCACCTCGCCCTTATGAAGTCACCCTACTCGCGGACGGCATAGGTAAGGCTGACGAGCAGGTTCCATCTGGATGATCTGATATGACGAGGGTTGCATTATCGGCGCAGCTGGCGATAACGATCGATACGACGGCAGTCAATCTATACGACATGCCTCACCGATGAACCTAGGACGTCTCTCAGCCGTGACCAGGACAACGCCCGTAGCCATCACGCTCCAAACTTTCAGGGTCGTCACGTGGCCTGCCCCGGGGCTGCTATGGGCCCTACTAGTGGATGCCAGATCTTGGAAGAAGGAGCCACCAACGGTCGCATCTGCCGTGTGCATTGCACACCACCACCGCACAACTAGCACTTTGGACACTTTGTTCCGCCAGCGCAACCACCGGCTCCCGAACCGCTACCGAAGTCTGGCCTGGGGATCGCCGAGGTCGTTGCTTCATGCAACACTTGAGCCCTGTTGGCCCGAAGCAGCCGTAGCGTCACCACGCTTTTTCTCGGCTGAGCAAGCAGGTGACCTATGGGGCGGGCGGTCGAGACTCGTACGAGGGCATTAGTTGCACCCTGTCGCATCGTGACCTTCCAGCCGTTGTTCGAATAGTCGAGACCCGTCAAATCGGCAACGGACATTCGGCATTGCCTAGGTGCGGACTGTCGGATTCCATACCTGAGTGCTTTTGAACAGAAAGCACCAAAGTGTCAATTGACCCCGCGCATGTACATTGCGAACCGAATTCCCGAGAAGTCTATCCTATACACGTAGAGGTTTGCGAGTATGAGAATGGCCTGAAAAGGTGCTCTCACTGAATCGCTATAGAACACTTCACAGACATGATATATGGGCTGAGATCCTCATCGGCGCGTCTGAGTACATTGCTCGATAACATCAACGCAGTGAGATGCGCTCTTTCCAAATGTCAGGTTTGTTCCTGCCAACTCCAACCGCCACGTGCCGTACAATCGTGTCAAGAGCAAGCCCACACGGGCTCCTTCTCTCACTCCTAGATGCAATGTCGCGGGAAATCGTGACATCCGACCTCCACCATGCACACCTCAGGCGACAGTCCTCACCCCTACCAGGATATCCAAGCATCGCATAGTCTCATATGACTTCCATCCTGTTTTCAGCAGTATAGATCCCGCATCAATCACTCGGTCAGCTTCTAGTCGCTAGTCGCCAGCTTCGCGCGCAGTCTATCGTTCACGAGGTGCTTGGCGCGATATCGCTCCTCAAAGCATTGCTGACGGTAGGTAGCAATGACCTTTTCCGAGATCGCGGGACGGCTGCTGAAAGGGTCAGGACACTCGCAGCCGCCGCCTGGCAAAGAGCACCTAATCGAATCTCATCCTTCGCCAGAGCGAGCCAGCATTTCCTCCTTCCTAGCTTCGCCCGAGTCAGACAACGGTCATATCACAGCCCGCGAAGGCATGCTCAGCATCCATCTTGGCGAGCAAAGAGGACACTCCACCGCCTCTTCGTGGGCGAAACCTAGACCTTTATCAGACATTCGCGAAGTCACCGAATCAAGCTTTGCAGACACTCTACCCCGGAACGCCCTGACAAACAACTTTCACCGGAGCACCTCGCGCACGGAGATGTCGCGGAAGCCCTCTGTTGCGACGAGACGACGTCCGAGCAACGACAACAGGTACGGTGAAAACGTAGAACCTGATCGAAAGAATAGCATCGAAAGCAACGGCATAAGATCCAACCACAGGGGTCGGACGTCTAGATCACCATCACCATCAAGCCCTGCAGATAACCACAGCATATCGAGCATATACAGCATACCAGCCGGTACCGTCCCGCCACGATCCTCCTCACGACCTCGTGCACCAAGCACTTCTCGAACCCGACAGCCACAGCAGATACCACCTATACACATAACTCAAGCGACTGCGACGAACACGCTCAGTGCCATACCTACTATACCGTTTCCGCCTCCTAGCAATAATACCAATACTATCATTCGGCATGGTCAATCGCAGTCGCCCTTGCGCCACATTGTGACTCACCTTGATCCCATTACTCATGACACCCACCGACGCATACCCTCCAGAACATTTGTTCGCGATCCACTATCGAAAGAGCTGCTAGAGTTTCCATCACACCGACATCCGCGAATTGACCTTGGCCTGGACTTATCCGCAGGCATTTTCGTGGGCGGAGGCTCCATCGAAGGGACCGTCCAGATAAACGTCGACGATGCAGAGCGAATACGTCATAGAAGGACTCTGGACATTGCCCGGATATCTATCGATCTTCTTGGGACTGAGGAAGTGAGCGGCAACAGACGAGCTGTCTTTCTGAACCTCGCCACAGAGCTCATTGATGAGCAAAACCCGCCGCCTCAAAACATGGTAGATACCCAAGAGCCCATAAGCTCGGCAGATCTTTTCTGGCATCTGATGCCTTCTACGACCAATCTCGCGTTCAATCTGAGTCTACCTCTCAACGTTGGTCCCCCGCCTTTCCATTCAAAGAACGCAAGGATACGTTACATACTTTGCGTATCACTTCTTATCCGCGACCAAGGAAGACAGTACATTGTCAGGACTTCCGAAGATGTCACAGTGCTCTCAGTGTACGATCGTATGAGAAACCTGATCATTCATGCTTCCTGTGATGAGGCTAATATGTCCGCAGCTGAAAAGGCACTCATGTCGCTACCTAGTCCCTTGACTGCATCAGACGAATGGATAAAGCCCCGAGATACCACCGTCGAGGTTGTTAGGGTTACCGCAGGCTTACATCGACAAGTTTGGGTCAGCGGTACTAGCCTCTATGTCGATGTCCACGTTGCCAACAACAGTCGCAAGATCGTCAAAAAGATTGAGCTTCAGCTGGAAAGGGATATACTCTGCTACAAACACGTTTGTTATGCAAACTTGACATATCATCTCCTCATGATACTAATGAGAGTACTTTGCAGGCTGCTGCGGCCACGATGGAGAAGTCTGCGGGCCAGGCTCGCATCTTTGACAGCAACGAGCGGACTATCCTCAGTAAAGCAGTCGTCAAGCATGGTTGTGCTGGCTGGAACGGTGTCACCCCGCATCAAACCCATACCAGAACATGTGATCTCGAAGTACCTCGTGGCCATGGTACCGTGAAGTGTGGTATGTACATGTACCTTGGCAAAAAGTCATGTACATCGCCCCTAACTGAGACAGGGAAATACTTCGAAGTCAGATACTTTCTAAATGTCATCGTTACCAGTGGACACACGTTAGTGTCACCATTTCTCTCGCCGACGAAGCTGACTTCCTGCAGAAAGCTCGTCACCGTCCAACTACCGATCGTACTCATCCACATGGTGCGTCCCACAACCACCCCTCCTTTATATTCGCTAATGATTGCACCTCAGAATTCTCTCGACGTGGTCCCCAACTCCGTCGCCCAAGTCGCCATGGCCATCGAAGAAAAGCGTACAGCCCGCCACTCTCCACCTCGCCTCGGTCGCCGCCCATCTCAATCCGTCCAAGGCCGCGCCTTCGCAGCACCGCGCATGCAATCCCTAGAACGCATGCGCGCACGCGACGAAGCCATCCAAGAACTTGGTCAAGCCCTCGAGCAAAGCCCGCGCAAATATGGTCTCCGCCGCGCGAACTCCAACTTCGACTACCACACCCCGCCTTCCAACCGTAAAGGCAGAATCCTAGGCGATGGCGAAGCAGCAGACCTCCAAGACCGTCTGCGTCGTGTAAGATCGAACGAGACGATTGGCTCGAGGCCTCCGACTCTTCACCGTGTCAACTCTACGCGATCGAGAATAGGCGCTGCATCGGCGTTTGGATTCCGAGAAGCAGAGGTTCGAGAGGACATTGAACTTGGGGGACTGGGCGCATCGGGTGATGGGCCATTGAAAGAGAGGTTGGAGAGAACTAGTGATCGGCAGTATCGCTTCAGCAAGAAGAAGAGTGTGGAGAAGTGGAAGGGCGTGGCGAATGTGGGGGTTGGGTGGTTGAAAGGGAATGGGGTTAAAGATGAGAGGGAGAGGGAGGGATGGGTGTGATGTGCGCACTTTGTTTCCTTTGACAGACTTCCTGTACGTTGGATAGAGCGTGCGTCGCGTTGAATGAAGATTACTTTTTCCTTCGGCTCTGCCATTGTCACATACCATGAACGTACAATAAGTGATCGGACATCACAGTCAACAGTATAGGTAATGTGGTCTGATTAGGTCTGTCTTAATGACAGCCTGAATGCTTTGGTGTAAGATACAATCATGCCTCATAGTAGTCATTAATCCCCTCTTCATCTTCCTTATGCAATATCATACAGTATTATACATGGCGTATCAAGGTGATCGTGATAGGAAAGGTTACGCGAAGCATCCTTTGCTCCAAGCCTATGACCTGCTCTTCGCGAGCTCAGACTGAGCAGTCGACGTAGGACCACCCTTGACACGCTCTCCACCAGTAACCTTCTTTTCGCCCTCAGTGATGTCGTGCAGCGCCTCGCTGGTGATGGGCTCCTTGGCGTGACTCTGCGCCTGCGCAGTAGGACCTCCAGGGACAGGTCCGTCCTCGCCGGTAAGCTTCTTCTCCGCATCGGTGATCTTGCTCAGCGTCGATGAGTCCAGCTTTCCTGAAGCGTTGGAAGTGTTGGCGCCAGTGTTGTTGTTATTGGAAGCTGCGGAACCGGATGTGAGAGCAGACTGAGCGATGGATGTGGGACCTCCTTTCATGACCTCATCGGAGCCGGTGAGGACCTTCTCGCCCTCGGTGATGTCGTGGATGACTTGTGCGGTAAGGTTCTGGCCAACGTGCTGTTGGGCTTTCGCGGTAGGGCCGCCCTTGTGTGGCTCGTCCTTGCCAGTGATCTTCTTCTCGGCAGCGGTGATCTGCGAGATGAAGTTGGAGTCGACCTGGACAGACATGATGCGTGTTGTTGTGAAAGCGCGGTGGTTGCTTAGGTCGTTGATGTTGTTCTTGAGCGGTGCTCTTTGCGATGTAATGCGAGCTGTTGGTCGTGCTGCGAGGAAAACGTTGCGGTTGATACGGAGGAGTCTGGAAGCCATTGTTGCTGCTTGTTTATATGTTGATGTGATAGTGAACTGGAAGGAGCAAGTGTGTGCGGTGTACAAGCTGAATATGTAGTGTGATGGAGTACTGATGTAATGCGAAATTGATTCTCGTCTGAGGGTGCGCTCAACGTGACGTTTACTATGGGGAAAGATGGATTGCAATGCGCATTTGCAACTTGTCGGTCTGCCCGTGCACCGCAAATCTCTGCATCAATGGCGACGACATCGTGCTGATGACCCTGAGATGCAGGTACCACATCTCCGATGGACGCGGCGACTGTGCGATGCGCGCGCATCATGTGGTGGAGCCATGATGTCAGCATTCTGGGGAACTGCGGCCATGACGATTCGGGTGTACTAGCGGTGAGCTAAGATGGCGATGCGATTTAGGGGTCCAGATGCAAACTTCACAACATCAATTACGGCGCGATCAATGCGGAAAGTAGTTGTTCAGCTACTGAAGGTTGTTCGAGTGGGTGTAGTTCAACTTTGGTCTGACGCTTCGGAGATTGCGGAATTACCGGCTTTGGTGGCGCATGTCAGACCATACGAGATTCTCGCCCGTTGCTTGATTGCAACGCCATTGGATATCAGCAAGTATCGTTTTGGTCGCACCTACTTGTACGGCATGCGTTACGCCTTGTTAAGTTGTGTGTATACAACCAATTGCTCCGAGATGGCCTTCGCGGCGATAAGGCATGCGACGGAACGACTGTGAGGCCGCTGCTGCAGAAGCTGGCAGCTATATAAGAAGAGTTGGTGCATTGGATGCTACGTGCATGAAGTTTACAACAGGATCAAAACCTATCTCACCCTTGCGTAGCTCTTGTGAATTAAACTTTCGGCTTATTCTCACACTGCGACAATGTCGTTCATCAATCCAGCAGCGCCCGTGTCTCTCCTAGGCAGACATCGGATCCTCAGTCCCACAGCAGCCGTCAGAGTCTCCCCCCTCTGCCTCGGTGGCATGAATTTCGGTGAAGCATGGAAGGCCACTCTCGGAGAATGCACCAAAGAGACCGCTTTTGCAATGCTGGACTACTTCTACGAGCAAGGCGGCAATTTCATCGACACCGCCGTCAACTACCAATTTGGCGAAAGCGAAGAGTGGATTGGTGAGTGGATGGAAGAGCGAGGAATCAGAGATGAGATGGTACTTGCGACCAAGTTCACTGGTATGCAGATCACCGAGAGAGAAAAGGAAGGCGGTGCGAGGTGCAAGAGTAACTATGGAGGTAATAGCGCGAAGAACATGCATACAAGTATTGAGCGTTCGCTCAAGGCGCTCAGGAGTAGCTACGTCGATATCGTAAGTTCCTTCTTCGGGCTCTGTATTCCGCTACGACTGTTGTGATTGACTGACTCATAGTACTACGTCCACTTGTGGGACTCAACAGCCTCCATACCAGAGCTGATGAATGCCCTCAACGACCTCGTCTCCTCCCGCCGAGTACTCTACCTAGGCATCTCCGATACCCCAGCCTGGATCGTCGTAAAGGCGAACTGCTACGCCCGCCAGCACGGTCTCCGCCAATTCTCAATCTACCAAGGCCGCTGGTCCGCCGCAGACCGTTCCTTCGAGCGCGAAATCATCCCAATGGCGCTTGACGAAGGCATGGCCCTTGCACCATGGGGCGCTATCGGCGGAGGAAGCTTCAAGACAAGGGCGCAGAGGGAGAACCCAGAAGACGGCGGCAGGAAGATGGAGATGATGGTCATCGGCAACGAACAAAAAGTCAGCAATGTGCTCGAGGATATTGCGAACACCAAATCTCCGGTCCCGCCTATCACTACCGTCGCTCTCGCATACGTCATGCACAAGTCACCCTACGTCTTCCCCATTGTCGGCGGTCGCAAGATTTCGCATCTCGTGGGCAACATCCAGGCTCTTAGTTTGAGTCTTACGCCTGAGGAGATACAACAAATCGATAAGGCATATGGGTTCGAGATGGGGTTCCCGCATCAGTTCCTGAATCCAGAGAATACGGCGATTTTGGGACCGGAGGATAATCGATTCGCGAATAACATGGGCGTTCTGGATCATGTCAAGGGGCTGAAGTCGATTCCGCCGCATCAGGGGGAGGGAAAGTAGCTGTCGATTTCTGTTAGAGCAGATATCATAACGTGCTCCAGGTCAAAGGCCGATGATACTAGACCATTCACTGTTGTGATTTGCCAAGACAAGAGCCGTTTGTACCCTTCTTGCGCCCGTATATCCGCCGTCTTAGCTCCAGCCTGGAACCAACATTTCCTGACGCAGACTTCAAGCACGCACGAGAAGGAACGAGTAACCATGTCTTCTTTACTACTACGTTCCGCCCGCCCCAACGTCCGCGTAGACGATGATGTCTGGGATATGATCTTTCCTGACGCAAGGACCACAAAGAACCAGAAGGCCGCCGGAGACACCACTCAGTCCCCCGAACCGATCACCGCCAAAGACATTGACATCCGAGATTGGCCCTTCACAGACCGCAAGAAACTCGAGTCCGAGGACAACCGTATCAAAGTCTTCATCGACGACGAGCTCATCACAACGATCTCAAAACCACTGTTTCGAGCGACTTCGACGAAGACCAGCGAAATCCTCGTGGATGATGCAGTCATGCTACCCGCAGCCGTTGATGCGGATGCAGTGTCTCGACTCATCAAATACCTCGAGGACATCATTGCGAATCCGGGCAAGTCCCCGCCATTCATCCTTTGTCTACCCATGACAACATCTCTGGACGTCTGTGCTGCGGCCTCGGCCCTTGGAATGGACAAATACGTCGATGATCTATACGCCCAGTGCGAAGACCTTTTAAGAACAAGCCTACCCTCGTGGGCGACCATCGAAGCCATCACTTCATATGCGACAATGACAGCGCACTTCTCCCGTCTCTTCCGCATTATGATAGCCGGCCTCGCTAAACGCGTTTGGAACGAAACAGCCTCCAATGTGGAAATCTTCCAGATCCAGCTAACCCCTGTTCTCGACAAGGCGGTCAAAAGGGCGAATGAGAAATACAGAACCCTTTCTCAAAGAAGGGTGATGTATGAGAGACATGAGCGCTTTTCGCGCAGAATGGTGGCAGCTGGGTATGGAGAGTGGGATTGGGGGCGGAAGGTGGTTGGGAAGAAAGATGAGGCGGGGGTTGAGTGGGATGAGTATCATGGGCCTGCTAGGAGATCACATGTATGAGGCAATGTTTAAACTACTATAAAGTAAGGAGAAATATACCGATTGTCCGTATGAAAATTTACACTGATGAGACCAACGCAAGAAACCGCCCATGATCGCCCGTCGATCCATCCTCACATGCCCTTGTTCAGCTCTTATTTACCCTTCCCAATAGCCTCGAAAGCATATCCCCTCGCCTTCGCCGTCTCCTTCATCCTCCAACTCTCAATATACCCCTCCACATCCTTACACCCATTCTCCTCTCCAGGCACCGGCTCCCCCCACGTTCCCCAATACGGCACAACACCCGTCCAGGTCTTCTTCACCAACTCCTTATCCTTAAGATCATTCCTATCCTCGCTCGGCCCGCCGGTCCGTATCTTCGCGCTTGCCTGTTGCCACACAAATAAATTAGTACGGAAAAGAAAACGTAGTAGCAAAGAATACCAATATCTTTGCAAAGAGATGGAAGGAAAGAGAGAGGAGAAGAGGAAGCAACCTACACTCTCAATCCTAACCCTAAGTATACTCGTACTCTTCAACTCCGCACTACTCGGCGGCACCCTACTCTTCTCCCAACGTTCCGGCAAAATATTATCAGTAATAGCTTTCATAGCGTACAGCGCTTCGTCGGCATCTTCGACGAGCTCTGCGTAGCCGTAGACGATGGCGGAGCGGTAGTTGCACGAGTTGTGGAAGGGGGTTAGGGAGAGGACGAGGCCGTCGAGGAAACTGGCGGCGATGGTGATGGGGAGGCCGGGGGTGGGGGTTTCTTTTGAGGACTTGAAGATGCGGCCCGAGACGTAGCCGTGGATGTAGAGGGATTGGGGGGTGGTTGAGGGGTCGGCGGATTGGTTCTGTGCGGGTGGGTTAGTAAATCGCTGGTTTGTTTACCTGTGGACTCTCTGCTCCGTGGTGGTGTAATGGAGGGAAGCGACGAACCTCGTAGTTCCCCGTACATCCCAGCATAGGCAGGACGACGGGGAAAGGGTGTTCTGGGTCGACGAAGGATACGTGGAGGATTGGACAGGCGTTTACTAGACTGTGGATTGTTGCGTAGTCATATGTGCCTGGGTTTATTGATGTGAGCATTTATCTTGAGTAGTTGGGAAGGAGAAGCCGACGAACGTACCTCGATTCGCCAACCGACCAAGTTTGTTGACGGCGGTTTTGGGGTATTCCGGTGATGCCATTGTGTAATGTCTGTTGCTGGATTTTTGAAGTATCTCCGTTCGGACGGCAAGAAAGTACTGTCGGAGAGGAAGTGTTGCTGAGGTCTCGCTGAACTGGAGTGCGATCGTATGCGAGGTTCAATCAAGCTTTGTACCTTTCCCTCTAAGCTTTCTGTGACTCCTAACTCGTGACTCTTTCAACACTCACATATGCACAGACGCACGACGCTCATCAGGCAAGCCATTGTACACGTCCAAAGTGTCTGGAAGGATGACGGCACCCGGCAGGACTTACTGCATGCGGAAGCGGGGCCGTAATCGTGTGAGTAATCATTGGTGGATGGCGTTTACACTGCGCGACTACCATACCTCGCGTACACGGTTAGGCGTGTAGGGCGTCTAGAATTGTGAGTAGCCTCACAACAGTGTACATACCGCGGAACGTTGGCTGCGGATACTTCGGGTTATCCACGGCCCGTGTACAAATCAGAGCTACAAGTAAGAGGCGATAGTATTCGATATCCATCTATGATACTAGACCGAGTACAACATGTAGTCAAAGTAAACCTAGTCCCAATCCAATCCGGGAGAGCCTCAATGGGCGATGCAGTCCAAAAGTTCAATTCCAAAACTCCGTTCCATGCAATTCTTCTTCCGCTCTTCTTGACTCATTCTCCAATCTATCATCTGAAACTCCACGCCGTTCTCAGTCCACCGTTGACACTCTCCAACTTTAAACACTGATACGGACTGCTCTGCGGATCATAATACAACCCTTCCAGCATCCCGCTTCTCCGGTCAAGGGCCACGTAGTAGAACCCGCTGATGGTAAGCCCGCAGCCTGAGTCATCGAATGTCGCTTGTTCGGCGTCGTTCGTTACGGAATTGAAGAGCGGTTGTGGTGTGATTTCGACCTCGGCACGGCCAGTTTGCGCGTTGCGGACTATGCGGTAGGGCGAGGGCTGGAGTTGCGAGGTATGCGTCGAGGTAGGAGCGGCAGGTGCGTAGTTGGAGGAACCCGTCGAGGCCCAGGGATTGGACGGTGGAGGGTCGGCGGAGAAGGAGGAGGGTATCGTGGTGGAGGGTGGGGGCTGAACGGGGTCAGGGGTGCTGCGGTTCAGGCTCTTTACAAAACATCGCTCTTTCCAGCGCATGAGTATCCAGTTCTGGCCCAGGACTTCGGTGAGCCACTTCTTGCTTGTTAATGCCCTGACCACGTCTTCATCGCTCATCTTCTGGAACGGGGGCAGTTTGCGCCAATATGTTGCGTCGTTTGCGGCGTTTGATTTGAAGGATTCGGTGAGGAGGGTGTAGTTGTTGAAGTCGAGGATCTCGCCTTCGAGGTAGGTTGTGATAGAAGATGTGCGCGTGACGGACGGTGTGGCATTGTTGGGGGAAAACATGGTGTGCGGATGCGGGTGGGAAGGTACGTTATACGCTTCCATAGTTGCGGAGAGAGACATCTGCTCCCAGTCGACGTCGTGTATGGTAACCTTGACGGGCCATCGGTCTTGGTGCGGTTGTGCGTCGGGCTGCGAGTTCCGGCTCGTGGAGACTTCGCTGGGATTCCATATCCACGGTCGAATGGGCGGTGGGAGTCCCGTGTGCCGGCTGTATGTGGTGGTCGCGGCAGCGGGCATGGTCGTCGCATGCTGACAGCCCGAGAGTATCGCGCCCGGTGCCAGCCACGATGTCTCGGTGGGCGGCGGTATGGCGAGGGTGTTTGCGACGAAGTCTGCGTGCTGCAGGAAGAAGTCCTTGGTCAGGAAACCGGCGTCTCGCGCACGCTCCCAGCTCTCGTCGTCGTCGCGCGAGTGGCGTATGCGCGACAGGTACTTGACGGTCTGCTCCAGCATGGGCGACGTGCGGGCCTCGGAGTCTCGGTGCGAAGACATCTGGCGGGCGGAGCGTTCTCGCTGGACGGTCTCGGGGAAGAGGCTGGATCGGGCGGCAAGCATGTCTCTGAGGCTGCGGTGTGAAGCGTGGCGTGGCGGTGCTTCGCTGCTGGTGGCGGCTTCCCTGGTGCGCGCTGAGAAGCGTGGATGGCGGCGCACGCCTGCCGACTGGAGGATGGCCGTCGACCTCAGCGAGCTCTCGGGCGCGCCCGGGGCCTCTGTGGCCGGCGACCAGTCATACAGGCTGTTCTGACTGGGCACGCGGTCGCCGTAGTTGTTGTCGCTGAGGCGGCTGAGGCGTGACATGACGCGGCGCAGGCGGTCCCGCTGCTCCAGCTCGTCTCGCTGCCTTTCCAGCAGGCGCAATCGCTCCTGGGACCGGTCCAACCGCGCCTGGTCGCGCTCACGTGCTGCGCGGAGATAGTCGACGTGGGCGCGTTCGATGTCGTCGTCGCTGGGGATGCCTGCTTCGTCCGTCGGGGTGCCCAGCGTGGCGGCGAGGTTGAGCACGTCGTCGTTTACGGGGCTCTCGAGCTCGCGCAGGGCCGAGATGAAGGTGGGCTCCGCGTCGTCCTATTGAGCGGCTACGTCAGTCATGCACTTAGACCACGGCTATGTGACAACATGTGGACGGCAACATCTGAACGGCGGGTGCTTACAGGCGAGTTGGCGGGCGGCATTATGACCAAGCAGGCGGCGCAGCGGGCATGGCGGGACGGAGCGATGGATGAGCTGTCGCATGCAATGCACGACGTCGGATGCACGATGTCTCAAGAGCAAAGGCGTGTCCTCGGCGAAAGTGACGCGACATGTCAAACTCTTAAGCCTGAGCCATTGCCCCGAAAAACCAAAGACAACTCTGCCTGGCGACCGTCGCGGCACCTGATAGCGCACGCCATCTCGCCATGCACTTTCCCCGTTGTCCCGCTGCTGGCTTCCGCTCCGCCCTGCCAATAGTCGGCGCAGAGAGGCATGCCGCACAACTCAATGCATTCCTCGCTTGCCCCAGATTGCCCTCGTCGGTCCCGCGGGCATGGGTGGGTGGTCTGTGCGTCACAATAACCTCAACTACACGCGTCACATTGACGACGCTGGACACTACAGTCCATTTCTAAGCAGGCAGGTAGTCTTGCAGTAGAGCTAAACAATGATTACTTTCAACATGTTCGCGCTAGCACCGCAATCAAAACTTCATCACGACAGTCGCTCCTTCCTCTCCAACCCCTCCAATACCAACAAAATCCTTCCTACCAACTCTGCAAACTCCTCATGATCCCCCCACGTATAAGGCCCCAGCCTCGCCTTACTCGCCCGTACCAAATGCATCAACTTCCCCCTCAACTCCCTCCTCGGCTCCTCATTCGTACACATCGGAAACCTCAAATCCAACAACGCACTCCTCGCCGTCTCCACCATCGTCTTGCTACACCACACATGGAACCCATGCATAATCACATCTTCCAGACTCAGCGGCGCGTGCACAGTTCCTGGTGGCATAAGTAATAAATCCCCTTTCTTGAGGTAAATAGGAAAACCGGGTTTGTTTGGTGCATACTGGATACCTGCTTGTCGCGATACAGCCCATTCCTCGCGTTCAGAGTCGGAAAGCGACCATGTGAACCAGAGTTTCGAGCCAGTCTCACACAACACGCCGGTGTAGAGGCCGTGTTCGTCAACGTGAGGGAAAGACCATACGCCGCGTTTGCCCCAGAGCGCGAAACCAGTTTTACTAGAGAGATCGCTGGGGTTCGGGTCCGAGTGGTTGGACATGCCACCGTATTCTGTCGCTTCGGATAGGATGCTGTAGTCAGTCAGGTTGTCGAGCTCCCAGGGTAATACGTTTTGACGTACGGGCCGGATGTCGAGCAGGTTTATCGGGAGGGCGGTTGGGTCGGACATGCGTTTTAGGGCGGTGGAAATGGTGAGGCGGCGGGTTATGTTTTTGGATGTGAGGTCTTGGACGTCCATGTAGGGTTCGATTGAGGCGTGGTTGCGGAATTTAAGGACTGCTTCGTAGTGCTGGGCGGAGTAGAGGGTGCGTGGTTCCGGGCTGTTGTTTAGTTCTGAGGGGACCAGGAGAGGGATTTGGAGGGTAAAGCGCTGGAGTAGGTCGCGTGCTTCTATTGAGGTGCAGACGATGAGGTTGTTGTCCCAGCTCGGTGGGGGCTGCTGGATGCGCTGTTCGTACTGGGCAGCGGTGATGGGCACAACGTCTTCTCCGGGCTTGATGATGTCGATGTAGCCCTTAGATTCTGGGATGAATCTCTTCTTCCGGGCTTGCGCGATGTCAGAATCTTGTACCTGCGTGATCAGGCCTTCCAGCATACAGATACCGCGCTTCAGTGATGACATCGCGGTGGCAGAATAGCTCCTGATGAAGTCTTCAGTCTCGATGGCTTGATGCATTTCCGGGAGAGAACAGGATCGAACCTGCTCAAATGGCTGAACGGTAGCTTCTGACAAGCGCCTCTTTTTGGATGAAGGAGGGCTGTTTGCCACATCTTCCGTACGCTTCTTAGTCGGCTTGGTATCAGCAAACATCATTATAATCACTGTTAGTACTGCCGAGTCGAAGTTTGATCCTCGCCTGCACATCGGGCGGTGCAGCCGTCGTTATGTCCCCTTGACTGGTGCTTGTCACCCGTCTAAGCGCATTCTCGAACTGATGGACCTCATCAAGGACGTTCGCGAACATGTAAGACAAGTCCATAGAGCAAGAAAGATATGACTGGCATGTTTCTCTAGTCACCAAGGGTCGAAGAGGTCGAGCTACTCACTCGGTCACTCGACAAGCAACGCACTCACGCTGTATTAACGTGCAGCAAAGCTTAATGTATAACAAGACGTTTAGCAAGTGGATGACGATGTATTGCAAACATTCCACACCGTATATAGACCCATTTGGCCAACAGAACTCCGAGTATCGGCCTTTCCTTTACTTCCAACATGTCACTCGCACGAGTCCCCTGACGTATCCCATGATCATGATTAACTGAAGACGCAGTAAGAGACCTCTTGGCGAGCTCTACTAGGCAGAAGTGTGATCAATTGGGCGAGGTCGGCTGTCATTGTCATTCACTGCCAAGGCCACTTAGTGCTTCCCTTCTCTGTATAGATTCTCCAGCCCTGCTACTCTTATATCTCTTTTTCTACGAAAGTATCTCATCCCTCACTTTTTAGGTCTACAGTTGAGAATACTCGCCATAGAATCCAACCACGATAACCTTCTACAATACACCCAGAACGCCACTTGTGTGTAAGGTCCAATAACCGCTTTACTTCCCGACCGATTCTGACGGCTACAGAGACACGCGACGACTCATATCAAACATGTCGAACAACATGGTAGCCCCCGCGCCTACTTCAAGCGATTCTCTCAACGATCAGAAGGTCCCCGGTGGTCTCGAGCACTTCCGTACCTTCGGACCTATCCAACGCCAAAACCTGGTCATGAGCAACAAAGCCCAGCTTGTGGATCACCTAGGTAACGCTATAATGTCCGGAACCAACTCCACCGAGTTACCGATCGCTCTCTTTGAGGCCGTCTCAGAGAAGCATGAATTGGTTGTCGATGGCAAGATTGAGGTTCCAGAGGGCATCGATATCAAAGCTCTGAACTACCTGGTCTCTCTGGTACTAGCACTACCAACCGCGCCGAAAGTGTATCAGTTCCAGAAGTATGTGGTGAGAGACTTTAAAGGACAACCCATGAAGGATGTTGAAGATACCTTCAAAGACCTGCATCTTTGCTGCGCCGCAGATGCATTGGGTATTGGCTCCTTCACCCAAGGCATCTTCAACCACTTCTTCCGCCGTATCAACACCAAAGTCCCTCCCACAGACGTCATCAACATCATCACCGCGGCCAACAATCCAACCGGAAACAAACTGTTCAAGCAGATGGCGTACACCATGGCGACAAAGCTCAACGATGGAACTTTCCCCGACCCTGAAGGATTCAAGCAGAAGTATCTCACGACCAATCCCCGTCTCTCCGAAACCATCGACCGCTTTCTCACCAACATCACGGACACTGATGCTCGGAACGCTGAGTACGAGAAGCGAGAAGCTGGACGGCAGCAGTATGCTGCTCACAATGCACAACACGAAGCCTGGAAGGCGGCGGAGAAGGCACGCAAGAAGCAACGCGAGGCAGATGAGGCTGCGCGGTGGGCGGCAGCTGGCGTGTCGTACCGGAAGAAGGTCAGTCAGGGGAAGAAGAACTTCACTCTGCTCGAGGTGAAGTGGGCTGATAAGGTGGCTGGGAAGAGGGTATATCCTGGGACTGGTAACTGATGAGTTCTTAATTTCAGAGGATCATGAACTGGGGTGGCTTTAGTGGTTGATGGGATGCGCGGGCTCGCGCGGAAGACATTTGCTGATATGGTCTGCAGCTTTCACTATGGAGTCTTTTGGGATTGGTGAAGATGTGTATCTAAAGAACAAAGGTTTGGCTTTGTAGACGACAAGTGTATATTCATGAAAATGATGGTGAGGAAATGGACATCTCCGTGTGTTGAAGTTGCCCGACATGAGTAATGTGCACGTGCTCTTCCATTACGTCATGTGCAAAAGTCACGGAAGTGACGCGACGCGCCGCGGTTGCTACACCACCAACACTCATCTCATCACGTCGCATCTATGTCCATCGCCCTACTGCATGTCATCCTTCAGTTGAATGTGTGAAGTGCCATGCCGGGCGCTTCTTTCCCTCCGGCTATACGCGCTAACAGATGTCGGTCGGCCATGGCGTACGCAGTTGGCAAGAACAACAGCGACGCAACACGTTCATCGCACATCAGTCTCACGCAGCGTACATGTCTCGAAAGCCCCAAAGAGGTCAGGGGTAGGTAGAAGCGAAATGCACATACAACGTAATGTGATGAAACACGAGACATTCCGCTCGGGTGTGAGCAAGACTAATAATAAGAGACACGCAGCCACCTATACAAGAAAAAAGCTGAACAGGTCTAGAGCCTACATCAACGTCAGGTCACCTACCTTGTAGGTTTTCATGTTAATGTAGGCTGCAGGCCCGTTTAAATTCTCTTCTTGGCAGACTTGCTGCCCCATAATTTCTTGGGGTATTTCACTTGCTCTTGCTCAGGTCGCGTGTTTACGCGCTAGTGTCTGCTAGTGTAGACGACACACTCACGCATCCATCGCTCCTGCTCAAACAAACCCAGTCGCCCGCCGTTGATCCTGTCCGAATTCTCTTTCGAAGCAGCGACTCTCACTTCTATCGCCGACTGAGCACCATAGTCTAGGCGTCAACCCCTGAACACTCCTTCGCAAACGGTGCCGACTAGCCGTCTGACACACTCCGCTCACGACAGCCACGATGACCAACCTTCTCGATCTTCCGGTTGAGATCTTCCAGATGATCGTCCACGAGCTAGTCAATAGCGCGATTAACAACGTCAAAGGTCCTTCCCAGGGCTTTCAGATCGATGGTGTCTGGAGACTGCGAGATGTTTGCGGTACCTTCGCTGCAGAGATCGAGCGCAACGTCTTCTCCCTTCAGCCCAAAGAGGTTTACTACAACAAGTACTTTGTTCAACGCCTTGCCCTCAAGCGTTTGCCCCGATACATGATGCAAGTCAAGCGAATTCCGGGGAACATCAACGAAGGCTTTCATGCAAGACTAAAGCGCATGATCAGCTACATTTTACAAGAGCTTGACATCAAAGATGAAAAGCAACGCGCAGGTATCATCGAAAAGTTCTACCTTAGTTTACGCAAGATCGTCGAAGCGTACAAATTGAGTCACGCCTTGTGGTGCGATTGCGGTCCCTCCTGCCATTACGTCACCCAGAACCAGAACAGTACCGAGTTATCTGTCCAAGATAGGCTTTACACATCTCTAATGGTCAGAGCGCATGATGTTCTTGCTAGTGTTCTCACAGAACTCAGTGGTATGGAGAAAGATGCGCTCTTTGATGTGGAACCTTTCCGGATCGCACGAGATCTAGGTGACACGGAGTCGATTGACGTTATTGTCCGTTATCTCGAAACACGGTCGTCATCAGTGCAAGCTGCTCTTACATCTGAGGACGCCATGTTTCCCATACATAGCACTATCAGCATCGCGCTGGCTACCGACAGCGGTACAATTGCTCAAACTCTGCTCGACTACCACAAGAAGAATCTACGCTCCCCCACGAGGCACGCCTACAACTATTGGGTCTCTCGCGCTGTCCATGCGAGTACGACCAAATATCTGCACAATCTAACGGCCGTCTTGGATTTCCACCCTGAGGGCAGGAGACGTGTCTTGCGCGAAACGATGCTCTCCATATGCGCCGGAGGCAGCTCTGAAGATGTTCAGGAAGCTCTCAAGCGGGTTGAAGATGTGGACAAGGGAACAGCGTTGAACGCTCCCATCTTCATCGCTGTTCGATCCGGTCGCGTTGCCGCTGTACAGGGCTGCATCCAGGCAGGTGCTAATGTGGACTTCACCGTACGTTCAAACATCCCGACACTTCACAAGGACACTATCACTCCCCTTGACGTCGCCATGAATCGGAACGATGATCGTGTTGCAGACGTCCTCATCAAGGCCGGTGCAACAATTCCGCACATATCGCAGTGGCCAGGGACTAGGCGCGTGTACAAGGTGTTGCGCAAGGCCGTCTCGGAACGCACTAAAGTCAAGCTGCCGGATCTGAGGAGCTTTCAACATATGAGCCTGGTGGAACGCAAGGATATACAGTATTAGTGGACCGACAGCGAGGCTATGGGCGTAGCTGCAGCTTCGACGTGGCAAGAGTGATGGACTGGAGCATATGGGAAACGGACGGCAGGCATTATGGTGAGCCTTGAAGTACACATCGTTTTCTTATCTATAGACATGCCAATCAAAAGCATAGCGAATACGCCTGGGTCAATTGTGGGTCAAGTCGCCCAAACAGTCGCCTTTGTTATTAACATGCCATGTACATGATGATGATAGCTAGCTCCGTACCGTCACTTCCCCGCGTCCAAGCTACCATCCTCATTTGCTTGCTGGTGCGATGTTGCGATTAACACAATGGCGAAACTAGTGCCTTTTGAGGAAGTTTGTGTACGCCGGGAGTATAGCGAAGGTCTGTCATAATGTTGGAGAGTCGAAAGTCGTGGTAAGAGTGATGGAGGCTCCGCGATCGCGTCGACGCATACGTGCGGATGGAAGTTTAGCGCTTTTGCTCAAATATACCGCGGCATGACGTTGGTGGCTGCTTCCAAGCAGCTCGGTTCTGCCAACAACATCCGCGCCGTAACTTTTCAATAAACGTCCTCGTTCTGTCCTTGCCGCTTCTTGCATGCATGCAAAGCACATGCTTCGACCATCTGGTCGAGCAGAGGCCAGAAGGCGCCTTCTAATGGTAAAGTCGCCCCCCTCATCGCATTTCCGTCGACGGGAGACAGCGAGACCTCTCACATCTATGATCCTGATGACGTCACGGGAATTTCGAGGAACTCGAGTACATACATGGGCCGAAAATACGACTGTCTCAGTTCAAGCTGAAAGGAATTGAATCACTCGATGAACAATGCGACTGCGGCCTGTGCCACACCTGTCTAGCGGTGTGGCAAAGTGTATGTAAGCTCCTTGCTAGACTTCGGATTATCTCAGTGCTCTAGTGTATATGATGCACAGACGTTGGCCCAGCAAGCCAATGCTTTTCTAAGCCTCTACACTATACCTTCTGCGCTACTCCAACTTCCACTACAGCTGAACCTCAACCTGGCGCGACCATCACCGACCAAAAATCTCAACTGAGACTTGAGTGCACTGTCGATAATTGCTACAACAGTCGATATCATGGCGCTCCTCAACGACCTTCCCAATGAACTTCTGCTCCAGATAACCGAGCATCTCAAGGGCCAATCTCAAACACTCGCCCGACTTTGCCTAGTCTCGCGCAGATGGAAAGAAGTCGCTATGAGCACTCTTTACACTGGAGTGGCTTTGTACATTAGCCCAAAGAAGTTTCATACCTTTGTGCGAACACTGCTTACACACGATGATCTTACACGGCATGTCAAGATATTTGAATGTCTTTGGGATACACGGAACGGCGATCTCTGTGCTGCCGAGGAAGATAAGATACAAGATGAACCAAAGCTTGTGGGGAATTGCGCCGCACAGATCATGCAGATGGCCGTCCCGGTCGAGGTAGCGGGACATCTCACTAGTAATCTCGCGCGCGGGCAGCGGTCGGCTTTCGCAGCGATCATATTACACCTGCTACCGAAGCTTGAAAGGCTTTCAATCCGTGTCACAGACCCCATCAACGGATCACGATTCTCTTTCCGTAACGACCTTCTTCGGGTGTTATATGGAATCAGACACGATCGATTCACCCGGACTGATCTGTGTGGTTTACGAGGCGGGCTCCAGCATTTGACACACCTCTGCATTCCCTTTACACATTTCAATCTCCTCCGATTCTTCTACCTCCCAAACCTGAGGGCGTTGAAACTAGATCTCATGAGCAACGGTGTCCGCGATCTAGGGTCAGGCTGGTTGAACCATATCACCACACCGATAGCTTCGAAGAATGGCATTGAAGATCTAACTATCCAGAGTGATTGCTGCGAACTAGAGCCGTCATCAGTTCACCCCGTCACCCCACATATCATACGATGGCTTCACATCGATGGAAGCCTTAACGGTCGACGACATACACTGAAGCATGTCGACTTTCATCTCACTTTTAGAAGAGGTTACTACTGTGGAGCTAGGCGATATTTCCAGACCCTGGTCTCGCACCTGGCGGCCGCTTCGACAGAAATTGAGAGCCTGCGCATAGATATCCGCCTAGTCTATTGCGACTGGGAAACATTAGCACGGTACCTTTCGAGTATGAGACCCGTTACTACACTCTCTGGCTTCGGGAACCTGCGAAACCTTGAGGTGCCACAGGAGTTTCTCATAGACAGAAAGTTTCGTAGCAGACCGCATCCTGGAGGTGATCTTCGACATCTATTGCCCTTAGCGATCGAGAGTTTGACTATCATCTGCCCTGATGGTATGGCCATCGTATGGCTCCACAAACTCTCCCTTGTTCTAAACCACTTCAATGCGCTGCGGGTTCTTGCGCTTGAATGTGTTCCAGGACATGGTCGACTTGCCTCATGGTTCCATAAGCGCCGCGATCCTGTCTTCGACACATTCCGCGATAGAGGCATTTGCGTGCGTATATATGATGCAAAATCTGGATTCAGGCGTCCTCAGGCGTACGACACTGTCGATACGCCCGATCTAAGACAGAAAACGGAAGACCCTTTCCAAGACTCTCTGCACATTTCAAGTCTTTTTGGTGAAGACGTCGAATGTGCAGAAACATAAAGGAGGGTTTGGTTCGATGGAGACAAAAGTCGCATGCTTGTCGATAGATGCACTACTGGCAAGATGGCAATCAATGATGCACGTCTCCAATATCAGAGAATATTGACAGGGTTTTCTGGATAGTATCGGCTGAGAGCGATCTGACTGATGTTGTAAGAGGGCGAAACTCACCGTCAATAACGCTTGGCTTTGCTCGTAGAATGTAAAATAACACAAAGAACATGCCGCTGTTAGCTATTTCCACTTCGTTGAAATTAATCACGAAACAGACATGTCAGCGTGATGCTAGATTTGGGCACAATGAGATGAGATAGTGCAGGAGCGGGCCGGAGAGACGACCTCGGCACGTGCTCGGGAAGGTATCGCAGAGTCGGAGGTTCGGCGAATTGATGCGCCGACATCCGAAGCCGCAGTTTCCCCGAAGCCTCGGCCATGAGCCTCAGCTGTCTGGCAAGCCAACTCCGTGCATCATCGCTATCATGTACTTTCCCACGACTAGAATTGGCAAGCGATCTCCCGTTGCTTCGAATCGCTCCAACCTTCTTCCCTCACCATCGCGCCTCCGGTCGTTGCTACCGATGCCGTCCACACCATACACAAGCGCACCTACCGTGGTCGCTGATGATGGCAACTGCTGTAGCCAACGTTGTAGTTTTCGACCTTGCAGATTATCGCCTTATGCAGATTCGCAATAGCCGACAACAAACACTGTCATAAGAGACTGCAAGAGTACCCAACCCCAGTTAGAACGCCAACTTTCACTGGGACTCCAGGCACATACTGTAATACAAGATCACGTCGCACACCGAATGAAGCTTACGGATGCTGGGTGTCATCTCAGAATAGAGCCCAGGTGATAAGGTAGTTCGACCTCTGGGACGATGCGCAATACGGGCCCGGCGGTAGGCCTATCTGGCTGAGAGAGGCGGAGGGAGACAGAGTCGCAGCGCGTTCGTCAGTCGCATTATCTTCACTGACAGCTAAACAGGGAGTAACATAATGATACAGATATTGATCTTCATCACGCGAGATATGAAGCCACACAGTACATCCCAGCGCGCAACATGGCGTGAACAAACCCAAGACACGACACGCATACATCCGATCGCCGCGACCCTACGAAATCTTCGAAAGCGCATACGCAGCAAGATGACGACAGAGCTAGCCACGGCTACCGACCTCGTGAAGAGCAGAACACACAAGCTACACTGAGCAATGTTGGAGTGGCTCTCAAACCCTGAGGCGGGGCTACACGATGTAGCGTTGTTCACTTGTAACACGACATTGACGCGGTCGATATAATATGCCCTTGCGGACAAGAATTCTCTAGTCTTTGTAGTCGAACCGTGCGTAGACATCCCCGTCCCAGCACGTTGATCCTGGGGCCCCCATATCGCATGAGTATGAACAGAATGGCGAGGTGGGCGAAAGAAAGTTAGACGGCAGTGTCATAATACCATTGCGCTGTGCTAGCTACATATTTCCCTTCCACGTCAACAACCCGTTTGCCCCGATTGATCTGTTGCAACTTTCTAACCCCGACAGATGTGTTTCCCCCCCCCCTCCCCCAGGTTGTGTCGCGTTCGTATCAAAGACTCCGTCTGTTGCAAAAGAAAGATTAAAAAAATTCCAGAGACAATATACCACCAAGCTACAATAGCGGTGACGAAGAAATCATGCCAGGGGCTGAGTTATTCTGGGCCGTTCTAGCCTGGGACCTGACAAGTACCCTAACCGCAGTCGGGGCGACCTCTCCCTCCTGAACGTAATCCGGTAGTATCGCGTCCCATGTATACGGCAAGGGTGGAACTATATCTTGATATCGCACCTTAGCCCACTTGTGATACCAGTCGGCCATCCCTGAACATTCAGAATTTGCTTGGAGGAGCTCATCGATGTCCCAGTGCCGATTACTGCAATTATTGAAACGCACTGCTCCAGTTCCAGTAAGAGAGTCTCGCATGAGATCAGGGAAACCTGCGAAAAAATAGCAAGGATAGTTCTCGTATCCTGTTTCGAAATAAGGAATGATGTGCCGACCTGGCCAATTCTGCAGCGCCTCTTGCCATGCGGCATCCTCGATGACTATATCGAATATTGGCTGCATTAAATCTCCTTCGCCTTCGAAGATAAGGGTAAAGGATCCTGGAGGCATACCTGCAGACTCCAAAGCCAAAGCTTCCATCATCCAAAGAGCGACGGTTCTAGTAACGTCAGTGCCAAACATGGTGCGCATCAGCGCTAACCCTTGACGTAGGTCAGAGCGGTATTCCTCATAGCGCGCAGATTGCAACGAAGTCAGGACTGCACCCAAAAGATCCACACGGTACACAATCTTGAGTTTCGGATTTTCGATCGGAAAGGGTATCAAAGCTCGCGCATGG